TCGAATCGAGTGATTTCGAGTTCTATAGAATACGTTATACTCAAATTATGGGCAGAACGTCATTCTCTTGGTCTAAAAAGTCGTTCATCGCAATGTTTTATGCTCTAGCTCTCATTCTGAAGGTATTTGTCCGATTTCTCTTCCTTTCTTCAACAAATACTTATAAATACTTATGTTAAACACAAGTAAATATAACGGCTATCAAATCCCCCCACACTTGAGCGTTGCTTGTCCTCAAGCAATTTCTTCAACTTTGAATGCCTTGGTTAGTTTCAACAAAAATATATAAACAAAAATAATTTAATTTTTAAGAGAGATAAAAAATGACATATAAACTCTTTTATCATTCTCGTTCCAAAAACCATTTTTTAATCAAACACAAAAAGTATCATTTAGATTTAGAAAACTACTTATACCCTTGAGAGTAGATGAGTGGATTGTGACTAGGACTTTTTGGGTGTGTAGGATGATTTTTTTTTTTGTGTATTTGACTTTTGAGTATAGAAATGGATCGGTTGAAATTCTTGGAAGAGACCATGAGTTTTTTTTCATCTGAATGGATTCTCAACAAGTATTTACTCAAAGTCATTTTGATGATCCCAATTTATTTGATGAGTTGTGGGGTGGCTTGTCTTCCAAAATGGTTCTTGAATATTTGAGATATACTTAAACCATTTTTGGACATGGAAGAAGATGATGTTTCCTAGTCACAAGGTTTATTTTGGGAATGGTTTTCAAGAGTAAAAGTAGTGTAATAAATCTAAAAAAAAATGATAGTTTATGTGAATAATAAAAACTTTCTCAACCAAATACCCATTAAAAAGAGAAATATGAAAATTTTACCTTCCTAAAAAAGAATTATTTTTGCACACAAAATTTGTTTAACTAACCATGAGATGCACCCCCCCACACTTGAGATACATTGTCCTCAATGTAGGTTGGAGAATGTAATGCAAGATCAAATCTTCAATAGTGGAATGAGATGTCTTTGAGAGAAGGAAATGCATGATACCTGAGATTGATGATTTTTTTTTTGTTTTTTTTTTTTTTTTTTTTTTGTATTTTTTTTGTTGGGTTGCCTCCCAATTAGCGCTTAGTTTAACGTCATAGGCCGGACGAACGTACCTCTTTTGTGCAGCTGAATTCCCGTAGGTGTTTAGCTAGTAGGACCTCTCTTTTAAAATCTTGCGGGGGAGGAGAGGATGAGGAGCTATTATTTTCAATATTGAGAAGAGTATCACCCGGGTCAAAAATGTACCTTTTTGGCGTGTCCCAATTATGTCCTCCTTTCTTGTTGGTGTATCCTTCTTGAATGGAAAAGAGGTCTCCTCTACCATTTGGAGGCGTGAGAACATTAGTTTCCGACTTCAATAAAGTCCCGTCGTGTACATCAAGTATGTCTGAGGTCTTCTTGCTCTCCGAAACTTTGGGATCCTCCTTTCCTCTTTTGCTTCCCGTTGTGATGACCATGGTACTTCCTGCTATAGTAACTTGTTGAGCAAGTTGGTCAATCTGCAATTGTAGAGTGTGGAAGGAGCTTTTGGTATCTCGTTCGAGGTTGTCCATCCTTTGATTAAGAATTGTGTTTTGATTTTCAATTCGGATGTCAAGTTTGGTAAATTGAGAATGAAGATTCTCAACGGATGCCTCCATTCTACTATAATGTTTTTCATTTTCAGCTTGAATACTTGTGGTAAGAAACGTCATCATCTCTTCCATGGTGGACTGAAAGTTTGAAGAACTCCCTTGCGGATTCCAATTGTTGTCTTGGTTCCCCTTTTGTTGATTAGAAGAGTTGTAGTAGTTATTACCTCCATGATTCCCCCACTCGTCATAAGAGTTCATGTAATTGATCTCCTCGGGTTGAATAGCATACTCTCGTGTAGGAAGAATGTTTCTTAAGGCGGTTTGTAGGCTTTCTTTCAGTGTTTGTTCAAACTCCAAGAATCTTCTATCAAGCACATCACCAATAGATATTTCCTTCACTCTAGAGAACTTTATGTCTCTAGCTTGAAAATGTGGATTATAGGCAACAACGGGCATCTTGATCTCATTTAGTGAAGGATTTTTTTTCACCTTTTTTTTTGTTTGTGTTTGCACACTCTTTTAACTTCGGGACCGAAGTTTTACTTCGATCCTTGAACTTCTTAAGAGCATACAAACACAAGGAATTTTCTGAAAAACTTAACAACAAGAACAAGTGAAATGTAAAGTGTGTATGGTTTTGTTTGATTGACTTTATAACAACAAGCCGTATTTCCCCGGCAACGGCGCCAAAAACTTGACCGGGCTAAACTTGCAAGTATACAAGTGCCGATGTAGTAATAAAATACCGGTAAATACCGGGTCGATCCACAGGGAAATGGTTGATATTATAAAGTCGAGTATTGAATGCAAAGAATGTAAATGATATATTTTTTCAGGAACTTTGTTCTTTGAGGTTGATTTAAACAAGAATAAGAATTACTAAGGCAATCGGGATTCACCTAAATGCATTAATAGTTATTTAATAATAGTTCTTTCCCAATAATCATGAATACAATGTCGTTAATATATTCTCAACTCCGGTTAAGGCAGCGAGAGCGTGGTTTTCGTTACGTGTAAGTCCCGTTACGGCTTACATTCATCTACCGAAAACCCCGTTGAATATCAAGACATCACACCCGTATCATATAAGACCGGATATATTTCTATTCTCGGTACTATATATGTTTATCCTTTAATGTTCATAGTTTAGACTTCAACGTTAATTGCAAGCATAAACTAAATTTAACATACTTCTATGTTGTACACCATAGTCATAAACAATCAAAATATAAAGGATAAATCACAATTTATTGGTTTAGAACTTTTATCAAACACCTAGTGTGCATAGAGGATCATCCCTAGCCTTAGCTAAGAAATTAGCCTCTAATGCTCATATTAATCACAATACAATATTGAAATGTAATGGAACATGAAATTACAAAGGAAATAATACCTAAACACCAATGATTTCGGAGGTTGAAGTTTCCTCCTGAAGAACTTGAAGAAAATACCAAGAACAAAAATATAAAAGCTATGATTTAATCTATGGAATGAGATGTGTTTGCTTGATGAATTGAAGGCTTTATATAGGCTAAAGAATGGCATCTTTTAGTCTATTCGAGCCCAACAATCAGGTATGGAGCAATATTTGATCAAGAGATGAGGAAGGTGAAGTTTTCCCATCAAAAATCCTCTTGCACGACCTTTTGTTTGAGCTGAAATCGTCCCAACCGGCCCCGGTCAGTATAGAACCGGCCCCGGTCGCAAACAGGCTCGTTTAGTGCGAAAAAGCCTTCCAACCGGCGCCGGTTATAGGCTGACCGGCGCCGGTTGCAGCGCCCAAAAATGCGCTTCCTTTCTCTTCTTCCGAAATTGATCAAAAAGCGTCGGTTTTTGTCCCGGGATTTTGGGGATGTTCCGCTACGAATTTGGACATGATTCCTTCACCAAAGTTGTAGATAATGAAGTCTTCTATCCACCAAAACTTGAATGACGTGATTTTATTCATCCAATCAAACGTTATGGCTAAAACACTGAGAGGTATGCATCCTGAAATCCCACCAGCAACATCTGACTTTGTTGGTTGATTGAGTCTTGTTCCTTTCATATTTTGGCCATGACGTCTTCATAACATTTGTTCCTTATTGAGTTAACATTCACATGAAACTCGAATCGAGTGATTTCGAGTTCTATAGAATACGTTATACTCAAATTATGGGCAGAACGTCATTCTCTTGGTCTAAAAAGTCGTTCATCGCAATGTTTTATGCTCTAGCTCTCATTCTGAAGGTATTTGTCCGATTTCTCTTCCTTTCTTCAACAAATACTTATAAATACTTATGTTAAACACAAGTAAATATAACGGCTATCAGCATGCTGCTCTATTTTCACAATGGAACTTCGGCCTCGAGTTAGGTCATTCAGTTATAGGGACAGTACATATCTCTCCCCGCCAAAAGATCAAGGGGACTACCCAACATGTCAACTCCACGCATTCCTGTCATGCCTGGAAAGCAAGCTTCGTATGAAGCAAGTCTGTGCCTAAAAAAGATGCGCCATTGGCAATTTATCAATTGAACACGTTCTTGATGGCCTGGAAGAAAAAGATATATAGAATGCGAAGAATCCAACAGTGAGTATCCGTATTCCAACGTTCCTCAAAGACCATGAGGTAGCTTTTGAGAGAAATTATCTTTGTAAGGGACAAAAGGGGGCCGAAGGTTGCTATAAAATTGAACGGTTTAATATGTTTGAAAATGGTTCAAATAAGGCTGAAGTAATACTAGTTATTGATCTAGGTCCCACGGTAATTAGGCGTGATTGTGGCTCTTCAACAATTTATATTGAAAAACTTAAGAAAGAACTCAAAAAAAGTGGTCCATTGATTGTATCAGAAATGGGTTTTCCCAGTTGAAAAGGAACAGTTTCCTAACACATGAAGTGCCTTATAGGCTTGTTAAGAAAAAAAAGAATAGGGGGTCCATCTCAAATCAGTGCATTGCATGCGTGTTTATTAACCAGATTCCGGTTAATAAACGACGTTGAGTGTTTTGAGATACTAAATAGCTGAGGTACTAAGTGTTGGAAAAATTGAGAGTATTTCAAATGAATAAAATATTGTTTCTCTTAATTATTTTTTATACACTAATTTAATAATAAATTCTTATACATCTTATATATACTATTAAACATGGCATGCATAACATGCATGACATGCATCTATCATTACCTACGTGTTATTACTTATGCGTACATATGTATTATTTATTAATTAAATATTGTACATCTTTATCCATCACACTTGTAAACGGTTGTGCAAAGTACTTGCTCCCGTATTTATTGCCTACACGGCTTCTGTATAGTTAGCCGATTGTATCAGCAGCGGATAGAGTTTATCATACCGCATGCTTATCATCTCCTTGTATGATTTACTATATATTGACATAAATAATACACAGAAAGGTTACGGTGAATTTATCTCCTTTAACTTGGTATCAGTTGCCAGTTCATATTCCTCTTGCTCTCTCCTTCAATGTCTTCTTCCAAAAACTCTTTTCACCCGGCTTTAGCTATATCAAACATCAAGAATTTCATTCCTTTATCTCTTGATCTTGATAATGGCGATTATGCTTCTTGGGCGGAATTATTCAAAATTACCGCCCGGGCATATGAAGTCCTTGATCATATAATTCCCTCTACCACCACAACGGATTCCTCTTCCGCCGCAACGGATTCATCTCTCACTGATGCACAACGCGCTATACTTGATGCCGCCAAAGCCGAGGCGGCTGCCTTATGGTCTCGTCTCGATGCCGTTGTCCTTCAATGGATTTACGGCACTATCTCTCACGACCTCCTTCATACCATTATTGAGGTTGATTCCACGGCTCATGATGCATGGGAAAGTCTTGCCGATCTTTTCCATGACAACAAGCATGCTCGGGCTCTATATTTGGAGAATGAGTTCTCAAATACCCGGCTAGATCAGTTCCCTAACGTCTCTGCATATTGCCGGGGTCTCAAAGACCTCTCTACCAAACTTAAAAATGTGGGAGTTACGGTCGGCAATGATCGGCTTGTTTTGCGTATGGTCAATGGCCTCTCTTCCGTTCCGGATTACAACATGGTGGCCTCTCTCATTCAACAACGGGAACCTCTTCCCGTTTTCTCTAAAGCCAGGTCCATGGTTGTCCTTGAAGAATCACGTCGGAATCAGTCCTCCGGATCCCCTGCCACCGCGTTATTTCACTCCACCGGTGATATCACACCGCGTTATTTATCTCCTTTAACTTATACTTCTACTTTTATCTCTTCATATTAATGTCATATCTATAATGAAAATCAGTTATTTGAACGTTACAAGCTTTGTGAACATGTGTGATTCTTAATTAACATTCATTAAATGAACATTTTCTTTTGAGCTTCTAGCAAAACGGTTTTTGAGCTATGGCCTTCATTATTATCATTAATAGTATTTAATAGTATATTTTAATAGCCCATTAACGTTTAATTTTTGAGTGGGTGTATGTGCGGTAGAGAAAAATAATACGAAGTAGTTTTTTAGATTGAAGATCACTCTTATAATATACTTATGTGTGCATGCTATCGGCAACCGAAGAAAGCAGCGAGACCAATTCGTACAAAGCTATGTGTACAAATCGGTTATACAAAACTTATATTTTTATTGCTGGGTTCATATAATAATTTTCTTCTCGTTAGTTCTGGTGCCGGTTTTATAACCGAAGAACTCGTTATATCTTGGGGGAAATTTCCATACGTCGGAAATAATTCCTTAGGACAGCGTCTGACGCGTCTCGAACTTCTGATATATTTTAGTTCCTTTTTAGTGGTTATTCTGCAGGTCAATTCTCGGAGCTAGATGGTCAATGAGGTCAACCTAGGAGCAACACGATCAACACGTTGATTTTGGAGGGATAAATTAAGCCAACAATAGTGTCTCATGGTCAACGAGGTCAACCTAGGAGCAACACAATCAACACATTGATTTTGGAGGGATAAAGCCAACAATCTAAGGAATTAGCGGCAAATAAAGATTACACCTACGGATTGTCTACGTGTCCGAAACTCTCATAGAGACAAACGCTTTGTGAAGCTCGGTAATGTTTCATATTCTCATGAATGGGTACGTATATTTACTTGTGAGTATTAAGAATTAGGTTTGATTGACTTTATAGAAGTAAATGAATGGTCTGATTTTTAATCTCTATGATTTAATCTCTAAAGTGCGTACACTTGCACGGAAATGCAATTTTGGCCATTGTTGAGAATTCATGTGGACAAACTTATTACACGTCTGTCACTACATTTGCATTTAGATGTTTTCACATGCTTAATTCTTTCTGGATTTACACGTCTGATTTAATTTGGTTTGCTTGATTGTGAATTTTCATATCCGCATGAGAATATAGTTAAACGGAATTTTGGGTGGAATACATCCCGAGTCTCCCTATGAATTATGAGTGGTCTGTAGATTTTCTAAATCTCTGTACTATAAATGTCTGTGCTATTTAGTGTATGTGTGCTTCCCCTTTGCATGGAATAGCAGTGGATTCGGAATGGTTTTAAATTCATTCAAAAAAATGATTGATTATTTAAATGGTCTTTACACCTTCTTTTATATATTGAATATTCAAAATGAGGGGGTATTTGAACAAAATTACATTTGCCCATAATAATGCTACGTGTGATATTCTGAGATATAATATATGTTGTGCATGTGTGCGGTGCCTTTAGATACGTTGTATATTATACTGATTATTAAATAATGTGTGGTGAATTTGGAAATTTGTGTGTGCAAATAATATATGTGTCATCGGTTATTTTTAATTTGCTTCGTATGGCAAATCTGTAGAAATTTTATCAATAATTGTTTATGAGCTGGTGACTAGATGTGGTGAAAGAGGTTTCATCTCATTAATGGTGATTTTATGAGATACTCTAAATTTTATTTTCTTTAAATTTAAGAGCGAGTTTTTGATAGAATCTTGGTGTACAAATAAAGGTTGAGAGACATTATCTTAATAAAACTGAAATAATCCCTCTGTAAATTTTAGAAAGGCTATGCATTTGATTGTTTTTGAAATATTTAAATTTGTGGGGGTGCTTAGCTAAATTTCTATCACCTATCTCATTGAGTTAAAATGAGTTTTATAATTTTTGACTACTTTTGCATAAACTGAAATAGTGGATCATATATATGATTTTCTTAAATTGAAAATTAGTGTGTCAGTGTGCAATACTTTAAGCTATATTATTGCTAATATTAATGTGATCGGTTTTTGGAGAATGTGAACACATTAAATGATGCATGTGTGATTATTCGTGTATATGTTGTTGGAATTTTTATACGCTTATTTCAGTAGCTGCATTGAGTTGATATATGAATATAATTAAGAAAAGTAACTTTTTGAGTATTAAAGCCATAAGGAAGGTTCTTGGTATTTTACCATCACTATTTTGAGAAACTTCTTAAGAAGTTTGACATTTCAGTGTTAATAATATGAATATCCCTTATGCCTTTGATACACACAAAAAATGAGACACGTGAGAGGTATAATTAATTATGATGTTGGTTGGGATTATAATTATCCATTGTAATATATTGATACAATGATGATATAATTTGTTGAGAAATATCCGTTGTACTAGAGCGGTACAATGATGTTATACATGAGAATTATTCATTGTACTATGATGATACAATGATGTCATATATTATATTGAGAATTATCTACAAGGATATAACATATTATTAGTTAAAGTATCCGATGTACAAAAGTGTCACATCGATACTATATCTTGTTGAGATTTATCCGTTGTGTTGCCGGGACACAACGACGCAATCTGAGTCGACTCACATGAGATAATATAAAATAGTGGATATCCATTCACCCTGAAAAAGTGGTGCAATGATGTTTGAGAAATATAAATTGTCTAAATGACTTTGAAGAATGGAAATATTCCATTAATTTTGTGAAGTTAAAAGGAATTAGCTACTCCTTTGACAGAATCCCTAGGACGTTAAATAATTAATTTAAACATCGAGGGAAATGGACTAATGTCACTTTGACAACAAATAGGGATGGGAATCCAACTTGTGATTGGAGATCCCATGAAGCAGGTTCATATGGGTAATAACAAGTCTTCTATTTGTTCTACTAGTCTTGTTAAAATGTCCATTTCTATGGTGTGGAAGGCTAGACTGCATTTCATTGTGAGGTTGAGTTAAAGCTTTTAATATGATTGTCATAGCCCTTATGGGTGGTGTGTTAGGTGCAGGACACACTTGATGAGGTCACCTATATGAGTGTGAGGTGGGGCCGCCTCCATGAAGCATTGACAACGCTTCTAAAGCACTCAAGAAAACCAAGCACGCACACGGTCTAAAGGCGCACAACGGCGTAACGACGAGAAATGTGGGGGTGAAAAATGATCCCCTAAGGCACTGACTTACCAAAGTAAATTATTGGTTCATAGAAACTATACGTTTCACCAATAAACTCGGTGTTTAAAGACTTAGGCATCTAGGTCTGGTTCAAGTCTACGGACACCAGATTGAAAAACCTCACCCCATATATGAACCCAGTAAGGAATTATTATCTTTAAATATTAATAATTAGTCATTTGAAATATGTGGGGGATTGTTGGAAAAATTGAGAGTATTTCAAATGAATAAAATATTGTTTCTCTTAATTATTTTTTATACACTAATTTAATAATAAATTCTTATACATCTTATATATACTTCTACTTTTATCTCTTCATATTAATGTCATATCTATAATGAAAATCAGTTATTTGAGCGTTACAAGCTTTGTGAACATGTGTGATTCTTAATTAACATTCATTAAATGAACATTTTCTGTTGAGCTTCTAGCAAAACGGTTTTTGAGCTATGGCCTTCATTATTATCATTAATAGTATTTAATAGTATATTTTAATAGCCCATTAACGTTTAATTTTTGAGTGGGTGTATATATACACATGCATGTGCGGTAGAGAAAAATAATACGAAGTAGTTTTTTAGATCGCAGATCACTCTTATAATATACTTATGTGTGCATGCTATCGGCAACCGAAGAAAGCAGCGAGACCAATTCGTACAAAGCTATGTGTACAAATCGGTTATACAAAACTTATATTTTTATTGCTGGGTTCGTATAATAATTTTCTTCTCGTTAGTTCTGGTGCTGGTTTTATAACCGAAGAGCTTGTTATATCTTGGGGAAAATTTCCATACGCGGGAAATAATTCCTTAGGACAGCGTCTGACGCGTCTCGAACTTCTGATATATTTTAGTTCCTTTTTAATAGTTATTCTGTAGGTCAATTCTCGGAGCTAGATGGTCAATGAGGTCAACCTAAGAGCAACACGATCAACAAGTTGATTTTGGAGGGATAAAGCCAACAATAGTGTCTCATGGTCAACGAGGTCAACCTAGGGCAACACGATCAACACGTTGATTTTGGAGGGATAAAGCCAACACTAAGTGGGGTACTAAATAATGGCGTCTGACGTTGAAAAAACTTACTCATGGGAGCCGTTGCAGAAACTGTCGCCGTGAGGACAATTAACGGTTGGTACTAGTTCTTTTACCATTTTCAGTAATTAGTGCACTGAAACCATTGTCTGGTGTTGTAATTTTGAATTAGGATTGCCTAACAGTTTTGTGGTTGGTTTTAGTCTTTTCATTTTATCATTGTTAGCATTGTAATGAGAACCCCTCTTAAAATGAGAACTCGTGAGAACCCCGACAACTGATGGTATTTTTGGCTGAAATTTTTTGTGTATGTTCCTCATCAAGTCTAGTTCATCCATACCAAATTTGAGCAAAAAAATCAATTGGGAAGGTTGTCAAATGATTTTTTGAAAGAAAATTGCGTTTTATATGTATATTCCGGACCAGTTTTCTTTCAAAAATCATTTGACGACCTTCCCGATTGAATTTTTTGTTCAAATTTGGTATGGATGAACTAGATTTGATGAGGAACATAAACAAAAAATTTCAGCCAAAAATATCACCATTCTCAGGGGTTCTCACGGGTTCTCACTTTAAGCACCGTTCTCATTTGATCTTTATTCTATATATATATATATATATATATAAGACCATTGAATTTCATTAGAGGCAAGTGCCCTTGTTCAATATACCTTACATTCGTCCTAGATATCAGCTATAGTACAAATATTAGCCATATTTATACTCTTGATGTTTTTTTTGTTTCTTGATTTTTCTAGGGTGTCATCTCTGAGGCAATACTGAAAAGAGCCCTTTTTGGGGTTGAAAACCCAGCAAAAAGTGCTGAGTTTTGCTATCAAGAGGCTTATATCATTTGTCAAACAGGTGAGTTGCTCCCTTCTAAAATATCTCCATCTATAATACTTCCTTTTTTAACCCATTTGATTTTGGCATTTGTACAGGAGGCATTTGTGCCAGATGAGCCTATAAGTCAAGAGACTGCCTCAGGTGACCAGAGTGGCACGATAGAAGAAGAAAAGAAAAAAATCATCAGCAAAAATTAAAAGGGCCCATTCACATTGACAATGATTGGGGATGATACGATTTTACTTCGCAGCCACAAGGAGTTGCCCATGCCAGATGACTCTCGGAAAAGAGGTTGCCCTGGGTGGCAAGAGTGGCGCGCCCAATGAAGATAAGAGGAAACCATCATCATAAAAGGCATGTCTACTTTGACCATTATAGAACAGATGATTGCACTATTTTATTTTAGTGATACGTGCTTAGAATTAGATTTTTTTTTGTATAATATATATGGAGTATATGGCCCAGGAACCCCCGGCCCACAGACTCCTACTAATCTATCACAAGCCCAACAAGCCTAAGGAGCTCAGGAGGCCCAAGATTCGGCGGCCCAAGCGTCAAGAAGCCCACAGTACACACAGGGATGCCTTCGGCCTCCTTGGCCGAAGGCTCCAAAACTCACAGAACCGCCATATTCGACCATGCGAAGCTACTGGGAGAAAATGACGGAAAACAGGAGCCTTCGGCACTGTGGAGCCCTCGGCACCAGGGGAAGCCCTCGGCTGAACCAAGCCTTCGGCTACACAGGGAGCCTTCGGCCATACATGAAGCCTTCGGCCACACATGGAACCTTCAGCCACATAGGGAGCCTTCGGCCATACATGAAGCCTTCGGCCACACAGGGAGCCTTCGGCCATACATGAAGCCTTCGGCCACACAGGGAGCCTTCGGCATTATCAAGCCCTCGGCATCAGAGAAGGCTTCGACCATACATGAAGCCTTCGGCCATACATGAAGCCCTCGGCCATACATGAAGCCCTCGGCCATACATGAAGCCTTCGGCCACACAGTGCCTTCGTCCACACAAAGCCCTCGGCTACGCGAGGAGCCTTCGGCTAAACGGACTCAATCATCGAAGATTCCCTTTGGAGACAGCCAACCACCACATTTAATGCGACGTCACATCCACCCACCGCATTTAATGTGGGGAACGTGCGATGGTCGGTGCCACCCCGATTGATGTGACCCCTCGGCCGTTGGATTACTGACACGCGTACTCTCATCACATTTATTGCTGCTATAAATAGCAACCCTTATTCTCCTGGTAAACCACGCTGAGTTCATTTAATAAATCGACTCTCTCTCCTCCTATTTTGCTCTGACTTCTCTCTATTTATTCCCTCAATAACCCCTCGGATAAGATACCCCCGGGTAGACAATCCATCAATCCATCAAGTATATTTTGTTAGAACATATTTTATTGTATTCAATTTAATTATATTTAACTTTATCTATTAAATTAAATTAGTGGGCTTTGTAATTAATGTTATAAGACCATCTTATTTTAAGTAGGATGTTTGCTACTACCTCTATGAGAGAGAACATGCTAAGATGAGAGAGAGAAGAGTTCACAATTCAATATTGCCGGACGTATCATTCTAGTGCTTTGAACTTTTTCCCTCTCAACTCTTTATTTATATATCATGTATTCATCGACATATATATCATCTTAAATATACGATATTGCTAGTTGATTGATCATTCCATCTTCTACATCCTTTTTACATACTTTGTTTTAGTATTATTCGACTATTGAAAGTCTGGGAATTCACAATTGGTATTATTCGACTTTGTTCATCATGATTGTTAGAATTTTGAAGGAATTTATTTGATCAAAATTGAAATATTTGATTGTGTTATTTATGGATTTGTTCTTTACAAATTACGTATATTTTTGTTAGTGCTGTTTTGAAAAACAAGAAGACCAAGAAGAGAAGATCACGGACTATGAATACCTAGTTGCTCGAGATACATAGTTTGCATGCCTGAAATTGTTAATTTTGCACCTGAAGATTTCGAGTATTAAAAGACTTCAGGCACACGAGATCCTAGACGTGGGCGGATTCTAGGTGAGTACGACGTTCGCCAACTACGTGGGGTACTTCACCTCCTTCATATCGTTGATGGAGATGGGCATGGTGACTTCCACCTTGACAAAGTCACGCCTCTCAGCCTAAAGGTAGAATCGCTTTTGTTTAACTGTGGTGGAGGCTGGGTCGACTAACAGCCGATCGATGTGTGATTACTTTTCGATTGATGCCTGACATATCCTCCGGTCCCCACTAAAAGATGATGACGCATGATCGTAGGACGAGGAGGATGTCATTTCATTGATCCTGGGGAAGCTGTCTTCTGATCTTTAGGACTCGTTCAGGCCGGGAGACATCTAAGGGGAAAATAATTAAAATACCTCAAACATCTAAGGGGTATAATTGAAAAATAAAAGCTGAATTAAATTATGAAACATGTATATTTTCCAAATTTTCAAAATTTTAGGTGTTCATTTTTTTATAACCACATTAACTCTCTATACACAATACTCATTTTTGTTACAAGTCAAAGAAACTCTTGGTAGAAATTTATGTCATAACTTTATACTTTATAAATCTATGAAAATATTTTAACAAATAATATTTTCATATAATTTTTTTTGTATTTTAGATGATTTTATATTAAAAAATATCATCTATCAAACTTGGTCATCAATAAACACGGGACTGCTTTTTGGAGTTGCACAAGGTTCTTGGCATTAGGCACACATTTATTGGGGCCCCCAATATTTAGTACGTTATACGTAGTATGCAATAGTAGTTATAGGTTGATTTTTTTCTAAACGTTATACTACGTAAAACTTATGAATTTTTTTCTAAAATGTGTATAACTTTTAGATTATCTCATTTATGTATTTTAAACATTATAAAACTTATATTTTACTGAACTACCTAGAACCTGTTTGGTAATGCCAAAACTGGCTGATTGTGATGAAACTTATGAATTCTAGCTAAAGTGGCTGAATTGTCTAATTCGACTAATTTATGAAAAAACATTTAAAGTATATTTATTCATAAAAATAAAGAAAAAGTTATATGAGAAATAACTAAAGTAATCCTCTACAATAACTTCAGTCAATGCAGACAGAAAAATATCTTCAACCTTACCATTTCTTATTATTACACAATTCTACACGCAGAATTATTAAAATTACATGTTTGATGAAAAAATTGACTGATAAACCGAAACATATGATCACCAAATGGACTCTTAATCTATTTTGTATTTCATAGTTACAAATTGTATTTTTTGTTGTTTTAAGAGGTATCAATTCGCCTCTCAGAATTAGGGACTCCAAATTTACATATTTATTTCATTGGGATCGGAGTATTTCAGTTACATCGTGTGAGTGGCCAGATTAAAACTTTATAGCTAAATAAATACTTAATTAAATTGAATTATTTACGCATGTATATTTGCCTAATTTTCAAAAGTTTAGTTACAAGTCAAAGAACCCATTCTTGGTACTTGGTAGAATTAAATAATTAATTCATGTTTTTCTTCATCTCCATAAATTTCTGGTGTGATTTACGGAGTATATTTTTAACTCAAAGTACTCCGTAATTTATTAGGAGCGAGTGTGATCGTCTTTCGGGGAAAAAAAAAAGGAGCGAGTGTGATCGTTGACCGGTAGACGTAGTTGCAACTTTCCAAAATTGATACCCAATTATTATTACTAGCACGGAGTATCTCTTAAAATTCTTTCATACCGTATAATAAAGGGACACATCATAACAATATCATAACTATTGTTCGTGCACATTGTTTACCCGACATGCAACTAACCAACCAACTCTCAACCGCCGCTCTCGGCGGCATGAGTGGCCTCCCCGCCGCTGCCGTAGCAAACAATTCGCGTCCAGCCGCCGTCAAGGCCAACACAAACGATACCATCCAGAGCCTAACTAACAGGGCTTCAACCGGTGCTGCAAAACTGGCAGAGACCATGTCCGGCCTCCTCAACAACCTTCAAATTGAGGTTCCCGACGTCAACATTAACGGCGCCAAATCGAGGGACCAAACAATAATGAGCATCCAGGACATGGAAGACACGCCGGCGATGTCTCCGAGGGAGAATATATCATCGGAGTGGAGAGAAATCCACGGCTGCCGTGAATGGGAAGGCCTCGTCGACCCGCTCCACCCATGGCTAAGACGGGAAATCATCAAATACGGCGAGTTCGCTCAGGCGACGTACGACGCCTTCGACATGGACCCGTATTCCGAATATTACGGAAGCTGTCTGTACGGCCGCCGCGAATTTTTCGACAAGGTGGGGCTCACCCGGAACGGGTACAAGGTTGTCAGTTACATTTACGCCATGTCGTCCCATATTGACGTTCCGGAATGGTTGGAGGGGTCAACCCTGGTCAACGCGTGGAGTAAAGGGTCAAACTGGATAGGGTTCGTGGGGGTGAGTGACGACGAGGAGACGCGGCGGATCGGGCGGAGGGATATAGTGGTGTCGTGGCGGGGGACGGTGACGCCGTCGGAGTGGTCGGAGAATATGCAAAACAAGTTGGAGGCGTTCGGGCAGGGCGAGGCCAAAGTGGAGTACGGTTTTCTGAGCATTTACACGTCCAAAAGAGACGGTTCAAGATACAACAAGGAAAGCGCCTCGGAACAAGTCATGAGGGTGTTGCGTAAGATGGTTGACTTCTACATCAGCAGAGGCGAGGAGGTCAGCCTCACGGTGACGGGGCACAGCCTCGGCGGCGCTCTCGCCGTGCTCAACGCGTATGAATCGGCGGTCCACTTTCCGGGAGTGCCGGTGACGGTCATATCCTTTGCTGCCCCAAGAATAGGCAACCTAGCATTCCGGGATGAGGTTTGTTGCATGCATACTAGCTAGGGAGCAAACATTTCTAATTTAATGAAATACTAAAGATTTAAAAAACATAGACGTAGTATTAATCTTAGTTGTTTTTACATAGATATATGTTGGTTGATGAAGAAATTCATGAATGAACATTACATCAATCATAATTAAATTGGCCGGCAATCGGGCGTCGGTTAGAGAAATGTCATAATTTATACACACAAATCATTTACTAAGTATATCACATATTTTCCTGTCCAAAGTTAAGGTTTTATTATGTACATTTTAGGGAGATTTCCAATTTCAATTCGTAAATTTGGTTGTGCACATATAGTCGTCACGTATCTTTATTCACACATGTAGATTTTGGATGTTTGCTAGTCTTGTCTGGTCTGATCTGGTCTCTGTGTATTTTATAACTACGGAAGTCTGGTCTGATCTGACCTGATCTGGTCTGGGACTGTAAACAGACCAAAAGAAAACATCATTTGTGCTTCAAACTTTCAATTTAATGCGTAATAGCTTTTACATCGAAGAAGACATTATGGAGCAGAAATTTGTCCTTCAAACTTTCAATTTAGGCTCTAAGTAGTGATCATGGTATTAGAATCCTTAGACCCGTAGGGTAACCCCACGACTCCCATCCTTAACAAGTCTTTAATTAGAATGATCTTCGTATTTTATTTTTAAATTTCTAGTAAAATAGGAACTCCTTAAATGTCTTATAATAAATTGTTTGAAGTATTCAGTGATACTAGGTTCATAATTTCATCCGTAATACCGTAAAGAGTACCAATAAAAGAGTCAATATTGTAAGAAATATATATAATCAGCTCTAACTTTTATGTAACCATATATGACATGTGTTGATAGCATTTATGTTTATTGCAAAGTGTTTGTTACATTTTCATATTCTTTCTTTTCCCAGATTGTTAACCTTTCATTGTGCTCTTTGTTCCGATCATATACATACAAATATTATTCAATTCCGTTTTTTTGTTATTAAACATCTTCTAATCTAGGATGATTGTATAAAATATTTTTATTTTGGACAATCGATTTGGTGAAAATAATTCAAATAAGAATGTTTCCTTGTACGTTACTAGGTTGTCACTTGCCATATGTGTGTCCACTAATAAATACTCCGTATGAATTGAAGTATCTGACTGGTTGATTGATCCTTTGGAGATCGACCATGCAGGTCAGAAGATATACTTCTTACATATCACTAATGGTTCAATAGGAGTTTTAAATGGTGGTAGACTACAAGTTATGAGTAGTCGAAATAGGAAATTTGTGTCGCACTTTGGGTTTGAACGTGAATAATCCGAATAACACACTAATATCTATATGGTAATGTGCTCGTAATTAAGATAATTATTAAATTAAAAAGGCTAATGAAAATGAATGAGTAAAGGTATAACTATAAGGCTATTGCTTCTAACCTTTAGTAAGGATATCAGAATCGAAACCATATTCAGTTTAGCTAGGGCATGAGTAGGAGAGTACAAATTATACTGGGATGGTATTACAAAAATTAATAAAATTTTTAAACACATTAATGTTTACATGATAAATTTTGAATCTTGTCCATTATGTATATGAAATTCTTTATATTCAAAATTTACATGTAATGAGTTGAAGATTCATTCCTAATGTAACAGGTATACCAAAAGGGAGTTAAAACGTTGAGAGTGACAGTGAAGCAAGACATAGTACCAAAATGGCCCGGGGTTGTATTCAATGAAGGACTACAAAAATATGACGATTTAACGGGTCCATTAGAGTGGGTTTACACACACATTGGGGCAGAATTGAAGCTAGATGTTAAGTCTTCACCGTACTTGAAAGGCGGGATGAACCTATTCGGGTGCCATATGCTTGAGACATACCTTCACCTTGTGGATTGTTACCACAGTTCAACTGTGACATTCAGAAAGGATGCTAAAAGGGATGTGGCATTGGTGAATAAGGATTGTGATATGCTTGTGGATGAACTTAGAATTCCTCCAAATTGGTATCAATTGCGAAACAAGGGCCTTCATCGTAATTCTTGTGGAAGGTGGGTGAGGCCTAAGAGGTATGAGCTTCAAGATTTTCTCTCATCTCCTGAAGATTTAGAGCAAATTTTGTGTTAATAACCAAAATAAAACAAAAATGTTCAACTAGAGCGTATAATTTCATAATGTAATGCAGTGAATATTGCAGTCTCATTGCTTTGTAAATGTTCGTGTTAGACATCTATCTTTTGAAGTATATATATGAGTTGATTAATCTTAAAAACTGCACAATCAAGTTTCTAAATGGAACTACTTTCATATATGAAATATCCATTATTGATATGAAATAATTATCCCTTGTATGAGTAAAACTTCCCCACTTTCCCAATCTATAACCTAACTAGTTTTTTTCCCAAAATAATATTTAAATCAATTATATTTAATTAATTTCGTAATTAGTAATTAAATAATTAATTTTTATGGACTAATATACCCCTTAGGTTAAGTCTATAAAGCCCCAACCTCCTACTCTTTTTCTCCAACCCTAGCCTCTAGCTTCCCACTACTCACGCACACCCGCCTGCCGTTGCTGCCCCGCCGCCACCCAGCCTCCGTTTAGCCGCCACATACCTCTGTCGCCCCGCCACCGCCCAGCCGATGCCTTGCCGTACGTCCGCCTGCCCATCACCTCCGTCTAACTGCAAAGTCGCGTGTTCTCCTCCTTCGTACGTCCAGCCCGCACTCGCCGCCACCGCTGACCTTGCCCTGGCCGCCGCCGTCCCGCCGCACAGTTGCCTCGTGCCTCCGTCAACCAGCGTGCTTGATCTCTTGCCGCTTGAGATTACGGTTTGTTGGGTTCTTCTTCTATTTAATGAAATTAGGGTAATAATTAATGTTGCCAAAGAATGGTGATGGCCGGACCGCCGCTCCAACAACTCAGATTCTTCAGCAAGACGGTCGAGGTTGAAGACAAACCCAAGATTGAAGAAGAACCCTAGGTTGAAGATGATTGAGGACAGTGTGCAATGAATACTTTTTATGTAATGCCGTGAATATCACAAGAAGTGCAATGATTATGACAAAGAAGTGCAATGATATGACCATATATAAAGTGATTTTGACAAAACGTGCAATAATGTAGACCATTAACATTGATATAAATTGCAATTATCAAATATAAAATATAAAATATTATAAAACGCTAACATTTTTGTAATGTTTTGTCATAACTCTCGCATGGAGTGCATTGGATTTAATTAAACGTAAAAACTAAAATTATAAAAACTAAAAAAGGACAAGCTGAAGTACCATAACTTAAGTGCATGAAGTGCATTATATGTTGTGCAGTGAATGCCGTCATAAAGTGCTATAAATTTTGTGCTATAACGCGTTCATAAAGTGCAATATATTTACACGGCTGAAATTAGTGCAAAATGCATCTTTTTTAAATAAGGGCATTTTCATCCTTCCACATTATAATATGACGAAATTTTCTTTTTTTTTCGATTTTTAGTCATATTCCGGGGAAAAAACATAGCTACTCATATTTTGAGAAACTCAATATGTTTTAGTCATATCTTGGGAATTTTTCCTTATTGATATCACCACTTGTAATTATGACATGTTTAATGTAATTTTTTAATAGTTACACTGCTACATTATTAATCATTGCCAATGTGTGATTCATTTGTGATTAGTTCCGTTGTACTTCCTCCGTTCCGGATAGAACTTGACGTTTGCTTTTGGCACGATATTTAGGAGCTCAATTGGTAGGAAAAAAAATGTCTTGCGGCATGCCCTTTGACTTTTGGGGGAATTTAATGTTATCCAAATATCAAATATACCCCTCCCTAATTAATACCTTATTTGCCCAGTGACACAATGACCAAAATATTTTAGTGACCAAACACTCCATCCAGTGAAAGCGCCTCAGAACAAGTCATGAGAGTGTTGCGTAAGATGGTTGATTTCTACATCACCAAAGGCGAGGAGGTCAGCCTCACGGTGACGGGGCACAGCCTCGGCGGCGCTCTCGCCGTACTCAACGCATATGAATCGGCGGTCCACTTTCCGGGAGTGCCGGTGACGGTCATATCCTTTGCTGCCCCAAGAATAGGCAACCTAGCATTCCGGGATGAGGTTTGTTGCATGCATATATGCTAGCTAGGGAGCAAAGATTTCTAATATATTTAATGAAGTAGTTCAGATTTAAAAAAAAAAAAAAAGCATATAGTAGTGTCATCGTATTAATCTTAGTTGTTTAATTTTTGCATATATAGATATCTTAGGTTGATGAAGAATCATGAATGAACTTTTGTTTCAATCATAATTAAATTGGCCACCATGGGTTAGAGAAATGTCATAATTTATATAAATCTTGTACTGAGTATATCACACATTTTCCTGTCCAAATTTAGAGCATGTTTGGCGGCACGAAAATTAACTGATTTGGCTGATTCTGCTGAAATTTATGAAGTTCTGGCTTAAGTAGCTGCACTGATTGATTCTACTGATTTAAGAAAAAATTATTTTTATAATATATTTTATTAATAAAATAAAGAAACAATGATATAAAAAAGTGGCTAAAGTTGTCATCTACAGTAACCCAGCCAATAGCACCAGAATAGTAACTCTAACCTTACTTTTTATGCTTATTACACAATTCAGCGTACAGAAGCAAAATTACGTGTTTGGTGAAAAAATTGACTGATAAACCTGATGAGCCGAAAAACAGGGTTGTCAAAGGGCTCTAGCTAGTGACATCTTTTCAATGTTTTTTTTTTGCGAGAAAATGTACGTACTTTTTTAAATACGCATGTATAGAAAACTGATGGTTTGGATTATGTATTTCTAATTTCAAAGTCACAGTTCAGAGGGCGCGAGCGAGGGGCAGAATGTATTGTTTTGTTAGGATATTTTTACTTGACTGTTATTCGTCCCAGATCAGATCAGACCAGACCAGACCAGTTCAGACCAGACAAGACTTGGATAGTTATAAAAGTACAAAGAAACCAGACCAGACCAGTTCAGACCAGACCAGACCAACAAATTAGAGTCCAAATAAAATCATCCTTAAAACCCATAGTCCCATAGCCCCACGGGCCACGACTCCCATCCTTAACAAGTCTGTAATTACTAATTAGAATGATATTGGTTTTTTTTAATAAGTGTAATACGAACTCCTAAAATGTTTGATAATAAATTGTTTGGTTTTGATTAGTAATGCATTGATTAGTAATGCACCCGGTCCCGCCACTTTGTTTGAGGTTAAGAACTACTTCGTACGGAGTATTAGTTTGAATGAATATTTTGTGAAATGAATTAAAGTGGATGGTGAAGACTTCATTTCAAAATTTCATGGTTTATTCAATTCCTTAATCTTATACTAATAATTCAATAGTCCCACATTTTCATTATTCAAGAATAATCCAACGTTTGCGCCTCATCTTCATTCGCTGATCTCTGACCAGTTAATGGCCTACTATTTCAAGTTATTTTCTTATCTATGCAAAATATTATCTTTGTGAAAGGTGAGATTTATGCATGGTATAACGATTTGCAAAGATAAGAAAATAACTTGGAATAGCGGGTCATCAACCAATCAGGGACCAGTGAATGAAGATAAGGTGCAAAGGTTGGATTATTTATGAATAATGAAAAGGTGGGACTATTATAAAAAACCGCTAAAAGGTTGGATTATTAGTTTCCATTTCTCATACAAGTATGCAGTGATACTAGGTTTTAAATTTTCTAGATCCGTAATACCGTAAAGAGTACCAATAAAATAGTCAATATTGTAGGAAATATATAGAATCAACTCTTCCTCTTAAAGAAATTGCCCTACACACGAGTAAAAACGTTTTAAATTTCAAAATAGTACTATAACGTTTTTTACTCCCTGAATAGAAGTAATCAGCCAAAGCTTGAAAAAATGCCATGTTTTTTGCAAACAAAAAAATGTCATGTTTAAAGCCTAGTAATGCTAAACGTGACATAAATTTACTCCTATTCAGAGAATAAAAAACATGATAGTCCTATTTTGAAATTTGAAAATATTTTTACTTGTGAGAATTTTCTCTTACTTTTATGCAACCGACATTTGTTGCTAGCATTTATGTTTATTGCCAAGTGTTTGTTTTACTAGCTCTTTCATATTCTTTCTTTTCCCACATTATTGTAAACCTGCCCTTTCTTTCATATAGTGCTCTTTGATCCGAACCTCACATCCATACAAATGTTATTTAATTCCATTTTTGTTACCTTTTAATCTAGGGATAGATGATTGTATAAAATGTTTTACTATGGACAATCGATTTGGTGAAAATATTTCAAATAAGAATTTGTCCGTGTTACTAGATAGGTTGTCACTTGTCATATGCATGTCCACTAATGAATACGTAGTATGAAGTATGACTAATGGTGAAATATGTAGTTGATTGATATTTTGGAGATCCATATTTCTTACAGATCATTAATGGGTCAATAGATTTTTTTAATTGGTGGATAGGATTCATAGACGATAAGCTATGAGTAGTCAAAATAGGAAACATAACTATTGTTGTGATTAGTCTAAAGTCGTATTCGTATATTTGAGGTCGCTCAAGTATACGAACTTACGCCAATGCTTGGTCTCTGGAATTTAGAATTTGGGTTGCATCTTGGGTCTGAATGTGAATAATTTGAATAACACACTCTAATATTTATATGGTACGGTGCTCGTAAATTAGGATTGTTATTTAATTAAAAAGGCTAATGGAAATGAATGAGTAAAGGTATAAACCCTGACTAGTGACTATTGCTTCTAGCCTTGAGCAAGGATGCCAGAATAGAAACCATATTCGGTTTAGCTAGGGCGTGAATAGGAGCATACCAATTATACTTAGATGGTATAAAAAAATTGATAGTTTTGTTTGTACACATTAATTTTTACATAAAAACTACAAACTTTCTTTAAATTTTGGGTGGGCCAATGTCCGATCAGACCCTCTTAACTCCGCCTTTGGGTTCAGCTAATATAAAATACCATTTTTGTCTTGAATCCAGATTCTTTATATTCAAATTTTACATGTAATGATTCATTCTTAATGTAACAGGTATACCAAAAGGGAGTTAAAACGTTGAGAGTGACAGTGAAGCAAGACGTAGTACCAAAATGGCCCGGAGTTGTATTGAATGAAGGACTACAAAAATATGACGATTTAACTGGTCCATTAGAGTGGGTTTACACACACATCGGGGCAGAATTGAAGCTAGATGTTAAGTCTTCACCGTACTTGAAAGGCGGGA